TTGACACCAAACTTCCAGTGGTACCAACAGAACTGCCCAGATTGTCTGGACATTTGTGACCTGTTTTGTGACTTGGATCGTGGTCGTTGTGGTGACCTGCTCCTGTTTCTATGACCCATTTGCATTCTGGTGACAGCCTCAGTGAGACTCTTAACACTCGCAATGAGTCCTTCTATTACGGGGTCTTTTGCTGATTCTACTTTTTGTGTGTGATTTATTGTGCCTGATCCAGTTGGAGGACCTCTTTCCATTATTCTGTCGGCTATACGCGCTAAATGAGATAATGAGGTTTCAGGATCCTGTGCATCCAAACAGTGTTGGACGTAGCATGGGAGAGCTTGTATCCATCCTTGTTTTAGGACTGCTTCACCCACTGTGTTATCACCCACTAAGACTTGGAGGTGACGTAAAAACTGTGACGGCGACCGATCACCTAGTGTTTCACCTTGAAAAAGTCTTTGGATTCTTTGACTATCTGATAATGATAAACGGTTCATTATCTCTCGTCTTAAGATGGTGTATGGTTGTGGTGATGGTGGACTTAAAATCAAGTCACGGACTTCTTTGGCGACTGAAGGAGGAAGGATAGAACACAAGTCTCTATAGCGAATCCCTTCAGATTTGATATTGTGTCTCGTGAAATAATGCTCTAGTTGAGCAAACCACAACTCAGGATCACTACGATCAAATTCTGGAAGTCGGGATTTCGTAGTCATAACAGTGTCTATCTCCACTGGTGACAAATCCTCCAGATTATGGGTTTCTATTGAGTCTGACATGAGGTATGCGACAAATATAGCAATAAAGTTAGCACAAAAAGTGGTTACTATAACACGAATAACTTAATATAATACGGAATAAACTAGTTATATACTCAAATTAGTTTACGGATAATCAGGTCTACTTTTATGATTAAGTAAAAAAAATGTTAATAACAGAAATGAGGTTAAATTTGTGTTCAAAAAGGGCTCACCAGTTTCGTGCCTTAAGGTAACCCTCGTGCTATTGATAGAAGAAACCAGAGAAGTAGTGAATAGGTCTTTATTTCGATCTTCGCGCAGTCGCAGTGGAGCATGGGATTATCTGTTCAGACAAACAAAGGCTCTCAACATTCAATATAAGATAATAGGGAATATAACGCTTATACAAAACAAGGAAGTGAATGAATACTTGAACAATACTGTTTTGGCATATGCTTGGTTGTTTGGGGTCAACTCTGAACCAACCAACCTTAGCTGTTACAGTATCAGTGCCTGAAGTCACTAACTTCTAGTCTGAGCCATGTTGGTAGATGCAGACTACTTGGTTGGGGTCCGCGTGACTTTCGTAACCAATGGTTGGAAACTCTTGGTGACATGGCTCAGAATCGATCACAATGGCGTCGGTGTATACACTCCCTGTCTTCCCTTAAACTAAGAGACTAAAATCACTTCATTCTTTCTGTCTACGAACTAATTCTTTCTTCCTATACTATATCCTTATTGCAACCTTTGACCTAACCACTCCTATGAATCCGCTGTTCATCTTGCTGTGCTAATGAGGTATGGCAACCTGGACCGATGCACATATGTGCCTGGTCCTACGTTGTAGCTGACTCGACGATGTAATATGAGGTCGTTTTGTCTCAATGTCGTGACCAAGTTTACGTTCCCGATTTATATTGTCTTCTCATATCTCACAGTCCGATTAATGTATGTGAGTATTTGGGAATACAAAGTGACATATAATTTGAGGCATTCCATCATGTGACATCAACTTGCATAGAAAATATGACACATATTCCTTTTTTCACGTTAGAATACACAAGGCTCTTCTTCCAGTTATCGGATAAATATGCATTGATATGTGTGATTAGCACATGTGATTCCTCTAGGCATGTTTCACCCGCGAAACACTCAAACGAAAAATATTCATTTGCCTCATATTCATTGGGATAATCTTGGAGTCAATTTGAATTTTCTGCCTGTTCAAGCCCTAAATCTGGGCGAACTAGTCCTCTGACTGCTTCGGGAAAATTTCCTATTCCCTCTGATTCGTTATACCACTGACTAGGGGTTCTACTCGAAACCACTATAGATATAACATTAGGATGTTTGCTGTTCATATTTTGTTTAAGTCGACTTCGTCGTATCGTCAAGTGAAAATCAACGTGTCCACATGCACAGGGAATACGCACAAATCGATGGTGATAACATATTGGAATCGCCAGTGCCTTTTTCGTGCCTTAAGGTAACCCTCGTGCTATTGATAGAAGAAACCAGAGAAGTAGTGAATAGGTCTTTATTTCGATCTTCGCGCAGTCGCAGTGGAGCATGGGATTATCTGTTCAGACAAACAAAGGCTCTCAACATTCAAGATAATAGGGAATATAACGCTTATGAAAAATAAGGAAGTGAATGAATACTTGAACAATACTGTTTTGGCATATGCTTGGTTGTTTGGGGTCAACTCTTAACCAACCAACCTGAGCTGTTACACCTTTAGTCTTACCTGAAATACTGTGGAGATATTACAAAGTCAAAACCGGAAGATCATAAGCCATATTTTAGCAATAGTAAATTTATATGAATAAATCAGATTCAGTTCTATGTAGTAAGGACGGAAGGCCTACGTGATGCCTTTTCAACTATGCTTCTGTAAGCGTATAGTCTTCTCCTTAATGAGTTGTTTAAGAGAGCATGAACCGCTGCTTCGGGTGACATGTTCCAGGGATTGATGATTTAGTGTTTAAACTTGTATGCTACGAGTATGTTGTACGTTTATAGCCTTTCTACTTACCTGTTGTGTCCTCTGAGCTGTACCAATCTGGTGGAAAGGAAAAACGAGGATAGGTTAGATGTGAAATCATTTCCTAGTATCCGATACATCATAAATAGATCACCGTTTATCCTTAGGTAAGACAGTGTAAAGTGGTTAAAGATACCACAAGTATTCGGAGTTTGACAACACATTAACCAGTAACACCATCTAAAATCGAAATGTGCCAACCCAATGAGATCAGAAGTCAAAAGCAAAGAGGCTCGAAGATATATTTTGTAGGCTATCGATATGTCGAGAGGTGACCAATCTAAACTGGCTAGCTGTTGTAGGTGTGTAAAATGGCGTACCCACTCGTGATCTGGTGCGAGTGCGTGGCCGAACGCCTTCAGCTAAGTGAGTCCAGTAAAACTAATTCGGGTAACATCAAATGTCGAAGACTTACAGAGCTATTTATTTTGGAGATTTATTTACCGCTTCAAGGTCTAGCTCCTCAAGCCGCTTTTTGTATGGTAAACTGCGATAATTAGGAGTATTTGAATTATAGTACAAACTGAGAATCCCAAAAATAACGCAATTTAACCAAGAACTATTAGATTTGCACGAACAAACGTATTGTATATGGAATTATAAATCAAGCAGTCAGCAAGTACAAAGAAATTATTAGTTCATACAAACACCACATAAATCCCGGAGTTCTGGAATTGCACGAATAGCTGCCCTCTATACGTTTTCCAGGCTATCCGAGCCAACTTTTAAACAGGAGCTTGCAGCCCGAACGCAGTTTCCAAGCTTAGTTCTCACCAATGTTGTGTATAATATAACGAGCATGTTAGTATTAAACTTGATGAATATGCGTCAAAGAACTCATAGGGTTCGAAACCCCATGGCTGCAACCTCACAGCAGCGAGCCGTGGTTTCAAGATCATGACTCGCTGTCACCTCAAGATCCTTGTGAGACCGGACCGCGGTACGTGCATTTCCCCTATGTTGTGCCCATTTACCTATGTATCACCAAAGTACATGTAGACACACCTTGTCACGTTGTTAGGCGTCAACCATTCTTTAGACCAGTTAACCGCAATATTTAAGTCTGCCAGATTCTCACTTAATCAGCGTATGGTAGCATTGGGGACTCAAATTTACTGAACGTCGTTCAAATGGTTCAAATGGTTGTGGACGGAATAGAAAAAGCTTTCGCTTAACAGGCTTCCGTGTCTAGTAGCAGGGGATCACCAAATCCTCCAGGCAGAAACCTGGGTATATTAAAAATAGGAGAGGAAAAAGAAATTGGTAAATCATAATATGATACTATCCTGAATCCTTAAGAATAGATCAAGTTGTCTCTCAAAGGACTCCTGGGAAGTCGCTTGGACTAGCTCGGCCGGCAGCGAATTCTAGCATTTGACAACTCTTAAGGAGTAGAAATTGTGTCTACAGTCCATTCTGTTTTGTGTCTCTAGTTTCTGGGTGTTATCCAGTGCCAATGCATGCCCAATCAATGCTAGGCCTGTCGACATCCTTATTCTTGTTTTCGATGCGCGCCCTTGTTTGTCAACCCGTTTTATGACTGTCTTTTTCCAAGTTTGCTGACAACTTGTCAATAGGACAATGATGTTACTCAGCACTACTACAGCATCCGCGTTGCACGTAACACATACCCACTTGTCATCCGAATTGCTGAGTCTGTTGTAAGCAGCTACTGTGAGATCTGTACACGCTTTGTGGAACCAACCTTTGCAGTTGTCTCAATGCATGCCAGATGTAGAGGCAAAACGGCATCCAGGTCGTTTGCATGAATTTTTCATGACTATATTGACGTAAACTGTGTTATAGATGCTAGCGAAAGCCTAAGACCGTAAAAAATAGACTAAAAAGCACACTGAAAACGGACAAAAACGGATGAGATAGACTGAACTAGCCTTTACGTGAAAAACTGAAAAAAAAACCGACTAGTGAGTTGAGGAGAAACCTCAGTTAACTGTTAAATTGCGTGAAACTCGAAAAAAGTAATCTACCGAACGTTTAGCTCAGGATAGATTCTTTTGATCAGAAATGGTACTTTTGTTGCTTAAGAACACAGCAAAAGTTTGATTAATGCAAATGAAGTTAGGACTTAACTTCCCATTTATTCCCATATTCTTGATTTTTTCGGTGATCCAGTGGTAATTGATACTGAATTTTCTTATATGTCGTATTTATGCACTTGAAACGAACATGAAAAAGCTTGGAATTTGAAAGTAAATTAATATCTCGAGGTCACAACACTATCCCCTGTTTGACCCCAAGGTTAACATTGAGCGATTGCTCTTTGACTTGGCATAACTTGTTCAGCAAAGTTGGTCACCAATCTGAGTTTGAGCGTAAGCTATTCCGATTTAATATTAGGACAAACATTTAGTGTGTAGTTTAAAAAATTAACTGTGGTTCGTGTCATGTTCTTAGGTATTAATAAAAAATAATGTGATGGTCAGTAAAACGATGTCGAACTATAAAAATATGACTGCGTAAAGAAGTACGAAGGCAAGCCAAACTGATGTGAATCTCAAAGCTTTCTCGACAGCTTCACGTTCAATATAATGCTTATCTTCACCGTACGCATGTTTGACCCTGAGTATTTATTGATTGGAAGCGAATCCATCTCAGGAATTATCCATGCCAATTTACCAACTATCAAATTGTACAGACCTATATTAACTTTGAAGTCTACCAAGTTATATTTGCAAATCACGTCTCGACTCAAAGTCACGGTCTGAACACAGTTTTCAGTCTTCAGTATTAAGGATAGGAGGTCTATCGACCTATATTAATCCTTGCAGTTTGTAATACTGTGGAGGTCCAATCTTGTTTTAAATATATTAACAGAAGGTGATGATATTACTTGTTCCGGTAGAGGATTCCAGTAATTCACTACTCTGCACGAGAAACGAAACTCCAGACGTAAACGATTTGATCTCGGTTTTTGAACTTTCTTCGAATGTCCTCTCAAATGATCAGTTCTAGACAAAAGTAAAAGATATTACGTTAATACCAAGTTCATCGTTCAGTATACGATAAGCCAATATTAGATAACCCTGTATTCTATGGTAAGATAACGGAAATAAGTTGGGGTGTCTCAGTCTGTCTTCATAAGATAGGCCAGATAGACCTTGTACTATCTTAGTACCTCGTCGTTGGACTCTTTCCAGCATCTCTGCCTCATACTTGAAACAAGGACTCGCTGATTGAATCCCATATTCTAAATGTGGTCGCACATAAACCGGGTATAATAATTTAAACATTTCATCATCTAAATACTGGAAAGACCTACGAATAGATCATAATACCCTATAGCCTTTCGCAGCAGCAGCCTTACAGTGACTAGTGGTTTTGAGATCACTGCCTAATATGACTCCTAAATATCAATAGTTTCTTACTTTGGGTAGCACGAATCCACATATTGTATAGTGATACGATTCATAGTTATTTATTTGCATCACTAAGGTTGTGTATACTGCAGTAGTATCTAACTTGGTGAATGTCCATCTTAAAGCATATGTGGTTCTAAAACCCTTAGCTGTGACTTCGGGGCTCATTTTCTAATTCTTTGTTGAAAGATATCAGTTTCTGTCCTCGACAACACGTGTTTCGGATGAGGTAAATCGTTAGCACAACTTTGTGATTAATCAGTTCCATGTCCTCGTTTTTGAATTATCACTACACTATACAAGCTGTAGTAAACCGAGTGAGGTCCCAACCGACAGTAAATGTTCCTAGACATGAAGTCTGTTTCAAGTCATTCATATGTTTAATCATTTCTCGGACAATTTCAGGGTTCGTTTTCTTGTTGTAAACCATCTAGTAACAACCTTGACGAATTAATAAACCCACAAAAAAGCCGTGCTCAGGATGGACTTTCCTGCTCCAGAAAGTAATCGTAAATTATTTTCTGATAAACGTTTGGAATTTGTAGTGAGTCCACAAACGAACTTCAATTATGGATTGGTGGCTTTGTTTATTTTCGTATTATCGTATTTTCTTTGGAAATTCTTCCGTTCTTCGTCTGAAAACTCGTCAACTGTTAGTGATTCACATCGCTTAGCTATGGAAGCTGCCAGAGCAAAATTTCAAGCTGAATTCAATGCTGAGGTTGCTCAGTGCAAATCTAAAAATCAAGACGAGAAAGAAGGGAAAAGTAATGTAAGCTGTAAAAAATATTAATATTCTGCTACTGTACTTCTTTTGCTCTTAATCCATTAACTACAAAACCTGGCACCATTATCCTCGTCGGGTTTTGTAGATTAAACAAAAAGTGTGGCCAAGAATCTAAACAAACGCTCGACTTTTTTACAAGTGCCTTTCGGATTTGTTTTCAGTGCTTCATACAAACTTGAAAGCGATAAGAACACGACAAACAGTTTATAAGTAGTAGTGAGCAAAACCTACCTTTTTGTATTTTACCTCTAACGATATGGTTCGAGACTGGTAACATCTATTTTGTCACACTCATGCGCTAAGTTCCTCTAAATTTTAAGTTGGGTGGCATTCCTAACTCCTATTGGTCTGAGCTATATTTGTAAATGTACACTATCTGGTTGAGGTCCTCGTGATTACCATAATTAGTGGTTGGAAATGTAATATGGCTCAAAATCGTTCACCATAACACAGATGTGTTCACTAGTTGTCTCCTTAAATCTTAGGTTTCAAAATTACTTTGTAATTTTTATTGAGTGGATTTATTCTTTTTGTGTCAAATCATATTCTCTGTTAGGTAGTCCTTCCTTACTGTCACCAACAGTTCTCTTACTTTTCTATTTGTTGTAATTCTCATCTTACTATTTTCGCCTTGTTGTTTACTTTATTGTAATGAAGTGTGGAAACTTGTGTTGATACTCATTCGTACTAAATCCCACTTTGGCTTAATCCTCTTAAAGCATTATGAAAAGTATTACACAGCCCCCAAATGCCCTGGTACGGCCGAGAGTGGGGAGAGTCCTCTCTCCCTCTCGAATGCTCTCATATGGCCACGCATGTATAGCCTCTGCCAGCGAAGTCCTACTCACTGCCTTCTCGTGGCACTACTGTTTACGAAATTAAGAGAATGAAAAGCAAATGTCCGGCGCTTTAACCGGGTTGGTGAACATGGAGAGTCCATCTAGGGGAGTTGAAGAACCCTGATTCCAAACCAATGGTGTACGTGGGCTCCAGTACCCCGAGGGAACAAATGGCGTATGAACCAATTAATGGTCACCGGCTACCATGGGACTGCATCTAATTACGATGCTCCACTGCCTTGTGGATTAGACCTTTATGTTGAAGGCTCGGGGTGTAGCCTTTTGAGAAAACCTCCTGTTTCGGTCTGGGCACCCGAGCAGTATCACAGCGCTCATGTATGCTATACTTATTACTCCACCACTATTTAATTATATTAAGTTGGTAATTACAAATTGATCATTCTATTCGTATTGAATCATCAGTTCATGCTATCTTGCAGGTTCGTGAAAGTACTCATTCTGGTGAGAAAAAGAAACGGTTCCGACTCAATGGTAAGTTGAACTAAATTGAAGTCAGATAACGAGTTATTTCATATGTGTATATATACATCAGTAAATGTTATTTCAGTTAGTAGGATCTTATCCTATATGGTCTGTGCATAGTTGGGAATATATAATAAACGTATTGCAAGAATAAAATGTGTTGCCTAACATCATAATAATAAAAGCCTTATCGAGGTAATACCTAAACATAAAAATGATCTCATAAACCATACTTCTCATTTGCCTACCTCATATGTTCCTTGTTAATGATCTTTTGCTGTATCACTACGTCTAACGTTTATTTTCCATTTGTTTGCTTTTCGCCTCGTTAATTTTCACTTTTGACACCAAACTTAGCCCCTAATAAGGTCTAGTGTAGGGAGAGTTTGTTTCCTTTCCCGGAATGCTCTCACTTGGCCATGTTTATAGCCTGACAAGGAATTTCTACTAACTTCACGTAGCAGAGACGTTTCCTACGAAATTGAGATGAGACGCGAGCGTTCGACGCCTAAGCCGAATCAATGGATATGGGAGATTTACCTGGGGGAGTTAAAAAAAACACTGGTTCGAAACCAATGGTGTACAATGGCTCCAAGATCCTAAGGAACCGGATTGATTATGAATCTATTTTGGTCACCAGCGAGCACTGAACCAGACCTTGTGCATTGAAATTCTAGGTTAAAGGCCCGATGAATAAACCTCCGAGAAAACTGTCTGCTACAGTAGGGGAACTGGAGATTATCCTGGCCCACACATATTACGTGTCATAAGGCGGTACAACTCACTTGCTTGAGAAGTTGTCAGACAAGGCTCAAGAGGGAATTCAGTAGCGATAATGCGATAGTTTTCCTTTACGTTCTTAATAAATGTGAGGACTCTCCTAACTGAAAGAATTCTTTCCGAGTTGTATTTTTAATTGAGCTGTATTTCCTGTTATGTTAGTCTGAGGTAGGGGTATGAAGGAGGTTGTCACTTCCCGGTTGCGCCCATACTGTGAAACAATATTTCTTCTCGAGGGATCTCAAGAGAGAGCTGGATTGGTGGTGGTCCTAGCGACTTGGGAACGTGACCTGCAGAACCCAAGGAACAACTTCTTGAGGCCGGTAGCGCAAGGCCTTTCTATGGGAAGTTTTTGGTGCGTTGGCTACGCACTTCAAAAGGCCTTGTCTCCGGAGAAGGAATTCCAGGAGGTAGTGGGGCAACATTTACAGGGTTGAACTTTCCCAACTTATTCCCTCCATTGTGAGAAAGTGGCATCGCTACACACGCTGATCGTCTGAAGGAAACACCTTACTTCTGTCACATTTCCTATGGGTAGCAGTACGATTTCTCCCTTGGATTTTAAGTTACCGCTTTTATTCTTACCGTCCTCCATCGCATGTTAGGATCTAACGGAGCATATGTTCCAACGAACGTAGGTCAGTTGAGTCATCACGATAGACAAGCCCAACCATCACGTTAAGGCAACAGCTACAGTCGGGGCCTACCACGTACCATTACTGTTTACTTATTTTTCGTTTGAAATTTTTATTCCTTTGCATCATGTCATCTTTTTATTCTATGTGGCACGTAATTTTTTTCGAGCTCAACTGTACCAGAATTTATATATCTTAAGGAAATACACGGTGTTGCTGTATGGTAGTGTGACAAATCTTGAACCGATACATATCCATGCTAGATTCTACTTTTTTGTTAATTTTTCATTGATATCATGAAAACAACCCTAGTTCATGTGAAATGTAGCAAGAGTATGTATTAACTATTTTTCTGAATCAATATTGAGAAATATGATTAACTGAAATGTGTCAGTGTCAGATATGATTCGATGTAAACACCATTAATCAGCTATCAAAAAAGATCAAAATAAATTGAATAATGCGAAAATGGTAAGCAAATAGGACTGTAATGACTACATAGGAGGACTGTTGTAACGTACAACGGTCTCATCGACACAACATAAAAAGTCCATCTCACAAGTTATATATATTGCTAAGTTAGTGACATGCTTATATATTTCTTTACTTAATTCCATGTTAAATAACTTAATGCAAACGTATCAGCATAACGTTGAGTGACATGAGTTGAAACCTCATACCTTAATATTACAAGCATGCCTTCCTGACAAGTGATAGCTAGCTGGAAACGCATGTCCAGGGTCATTTGCAAATGACCTATAAACTTTTATTTATTTTCAGGTAGTTAATTTTAAAATAGAAGCTTCATGAAATAAAATTACCACTTCAAGCTATCGCTACTACTATTACTTGCCTATTTAATCCAAAGATACTATGATCTTACGGGATGTCCATTCGCTTGTAGGTAGTAACAGAAATCCTTACATATGATAAAAGATACAGAATCCATGTCCATGTACGTTGATTTATTCAAGGCTTTTTAAAGCAAATGAAATCCAGTCCATGTGGTTCAACGTGACTACTGTCTACCTTGACTTAGGTACTCGAAAACTGTTGGCAAGCATATTTATTTATTTTAACACATAGATATTGATACAAGGAGGCACCAAATACATATGCGCCACACAAATCTCATTTGATATGTGTGAAGGCTGTGATACTGTTCGGCTGCCCAGACCGAAACAGGAGATTTTCTTAGGGGGCCACATCCGGAGCCCTCGACCCAAAGGTCTGATCCACAAGACGATGGAGCATCGTAATTAGATGAAGTCCCATGGTAGCCGGTGACCAACGATTGGTTCATACGCCATCTGTTCCTTCAGGATACTGGAGCCGATGTGGAGCATTGGTTTGGAATCAGGGTTTTTCAACTTCCCTAGATGGACTCTCCATGTTCACCAACCCGGTTAAAGCGCCGTACATTCGCTTTTCGTCCTCTCGATTTCGTAAACAACAGTAGTGCCACGAGAAGGCAGTGAGTAGGCAAGCATAAACTACACATGATCTGTAAGTTAGTTTTTGCGTCAATGTGCTTTTTGGGAAGATGCAGCGCGTAATTGTGTATCATATACCATTAATATCTAGAAACGTATTCAAATTATCTGGTTTATATGCTTAAAAATTGTGAACTAGATATTACCAAGACCAGGAGTAGAATGGGAAAATCTAGGAACAAAGCTATTTTGTTGTACTAATTGAAGCTTCATTAGGGGTGCACATCTTTTTATTTTACTTTTTATTAAGATTCATAATTAACAAATATAGTTTACTTTTAAAAGAGTGAATTTATTCTCAAAATTTTGACTATTTTGGAACCACTTATCCATTGTCAAATAAATTGCAAACGATTACATAATTACAATCTGAGATGCCTTTTTCTTTTTAATTAGCGCTCTATTTTATTAGTTCATTTACGAACTGTGTTAAAATCATTCAAATGTTTGTTTGCTTTTTCAAAAAAAAAAAACAACAAAAAAACGTACCAACACCATTAACAATACGTTGTACGCATCACTTTTTATTTCTCAAATATAACAGACTACAATCCTTTAATGGGTGATACTGGGACAACTTACAGGCCAACTTCACGATTTTGTTCAACTGGTGGATGACGTTAAATATCTATCCAACAATAAGAACTCAATAAGATCAGAAAGCAACACTTACTGAGTTCATCACATACACACACACACACACACACTAGCCTTATTACATTTTTACACAAAGATAAAAGAACAAGGAATTTTCTTCTCTTCTTTCTTTCCACTATGATGTTGTTAATTCGAAATTGGAACCTAATTCCAAGATTAACAACTGATGTCGTTTTTTTTTCTTTGATGTAAAAATATGGAACAGTTTTTAATTGTGATTAAATGACTACTGACAACAACGTTCAAACAGAACCTGTATACTACTTGATTATTACTAATTATAATTTTTAAAAAAGCAGATTCAAAGTTTGTTCAGTTTTTTTTATTTATTTTATTTGTGTGTGGGCTGTGATACTGCCTGGGTGCCCAGATCGAGGCAGGTGGTTTTCTTAGGGGGCCACACCTGGAGCCTTCGATCTAAAGGTCTGATCCACAAGGCAGTGAAGCAACGTAAGGAGATGCAGTCCCATGGTAGCCGATGACCAACGATACGCCATTTGTTCCCTCAGGGTATTGGAGCCCATGTGGAGCAGTGGTTTGGAATCAGGGTCTTATGGCAACTCACGTGCAGTTGAGTTTGTTCTCATTTAACTCAGTTAAGCCCTTTTGTTAACTTATTTAGCGGACAAAGTCATCCGTACTATAATAACTTATTGTACCTTTATTACTGTTGTGCTTGTATGAAATATGTATGCTTGAACATTGTTTACTGCCTACGCATATATTTATTCTGCTAACTTTATTATTAACTGCTTGATTGATTCGATGATCCATTCATTTCCCTATATATATATATATATATATATATATATATATATATATATATATATATATATATATATATATATATATATATATATATATATATACATGTACATTTAACACTCTCGGTTCGCTGACTCACTCATTCGCCTCACTGCTTTGTGGTCTGAGTTATCTGCTAATAAAACTGTAGTCGCTGCTTCTCTTTGTTTTCTGATTTCAAACACCGTTGAGGATTACATGATAACGGTTACGAGGGTGATTGGTCAACGAAGTACAGCCACTACAGTTCCATAACTCTACTAGGTGAACCCTCCATGTCCACCAACCAGGTTAAAGCGCCGGACATTCACTTTTCGTTCTTTCAATTTCGTAAACAACACCCCGCCACGAGAAGGCAGTGAGTAGGACTTCCCTGACAGAGTTTGTATACGCGTGGCCCTGCGAGAGCATTTCGAGAGGGAGGCGGGCCCTCCCCACTCTCGGCCGTACCAGGGAATCTGGGAGATTCAGTGAATAACAGATATTCAATACAATTACCACTAAAGCATGAACAGCGATTAATTAATGTAAATATCCAGCCCACAGGTCAGGTGAGGTTCGAATAAGCTCCATGGTAAACAGTTCAGACTGTGGAGCCTGGTGATCCACGTTCAAACCCGTCAGAGAACATCAGTTCCTTCAAGATTACAGGTATGTATTGCTGATGTGTACCAACTAGCATGAAATCTAGATCATATGTGGTTTCCTACCGACTAACTCCAACCATCTGACACCAATCTTAAACATTCGAATAATTCTTTAATAAAATATGTATCTCATTTAGTAAATACAAGTTTTAAGTACTCCGTCTCAAGCCGTGCACATATTGTGATGATCAAACAGTTAAAACTGAAGTAGGTAGGTAGAGGCGTGAGTTTCTAATCGATAGCCAACTGGTTAACAGATGCGCATTGTAGCTAATCTACGGTAGATAGGTTTGTTTAACGCATTTCTAATTAATAATAGCCTCCCCCTGTTTACAACCAATTATCGATTAGATCAAATGATTAAAACTTTTATTGCGTTGTGTGTATATATATGTATGTATGAAAGTTACAAACTGTGAAGTAACAATCAAAAAAATGCGTTTAGAATTGGAAAACGTCTTTACACAAATATCATTTAATCCCATCTCGAACGTTTTTGCTTAGAATCCGTTTGTACATTTTGTGGTGTAACTGGAGATGATCGAAGTTGTTGCGGACACTGGGATTCTTCTGGGTTATTACTTTGAACAATAAAACTGTCTGCAAGTTGAGGTCTATCAGTTGTATTTGATGATTTCAACATTTCTGGATGTGTATATCTACTAGCTTCGACACCAGCCGATACAAATCTTCGATTATATTGAGCTGAAAACGCTGCTTTCATGGCAGAAAATCGGTCTGCTTGTAAACCTATGGTGAATGAAATCGATAATAAGTGTTTTTTTCCAATTTCACAATAACTTGTCAGTAAAAAGAAAACGAGTAAACTTAGATCTTAATTTTGATTGAACTAAGATACAAACCAACTTCCAGCTGAAGAAGAAATTAGGAAAAGACGATGGAAATGGATAAGACATACATTACGCAAATCGTCAAACTGCATCACGAGGCAAGCCCTAACTTGGAATCCTGAAGGGAAGCGGAAAAGAGGAAAACCAAAGAACACATTACGTCGGATAATAGAAGCAGATATGAAAAGGATGAATTACAACTGGAAGGAGCTAGAAAGGATTGCCCAGGACAGGGTTAGATGGAGAATGCTGGTGAGCGGCCTATGCTCCTTCACGAGGAGTAACAGGCGTAAGTAAGTAACTAAGTAAGATACAGACTTCCAGTTCAATTTTGTCAGTTGAGTTTTTTTCAAGGACTGTCTTCCAAGTCAGTCGGCCAATCATAATGGACATAAGATCTAGCACAATGTCCATCGGTCTAATTTGTCATACATACAAAACCAATCACAGCGGGATGAAATCAGGAAGATGAACAGTAAATAAGGTCAAAGCGAAAGTAGTAAGACAAACTGAACACCGGAGAGCATGTTGTTACGAAGGGAAGGCAATGAAATACAGATATAAAAAGTATGGAATAATTTATATTTGTGCTCACTATTCTGGAACAAGATGAACAATGATTTGGAGATGTCTATCGACTTGTAATTTTCCCCTAGTACCATATTTTTAAATTGAACAATGTTCACTAAGCTGTTCCACCATAAACGAGTAATACTTTAGATGTATCTATGGTTGACGAGTATTAGGAGCATACGACTGTTTTTTTATTTTCTAATGTCATGTTTAAAAGTTATAAAGTGAAATGAATTGGACTGCTGTATAACCTATAATAATAGGTAAGACGGACATTTTGCCGTCATTTGTGTAGCAACTTGGTATCATTTTACTAGTCTCATACAATTATTGATCATAAATACACGCGTGTAGATTGACAGTTTGGGTCAATCAGAAATCGACCAACAAATGACTTACATTTCTTAAGAAAGAAACATATACCATTGGTAGCTTAATCCCTGGATATACATAAAAATGAGTATGCTATACATGCCAATTCAATGTAGCCAAAACACATCCTTTATTTATCTTAGCCTTTTCACTCGATGGGCTCGTGTGTAGGAAGATTGCTTTTCAATATCAGACTCAGACACCACATAATATATTATAATTGATGGTTGAGTTTGTCATAAGCGTTTCAAGTGCTTAGTAGGTCTGTTGTATTCAACAGTTTTGATCATTACTCCGTTCATTCAGTGGTGAGTGAATGCTGCATATTACGGTGTGATTATTATTAGAAATTTCATTTCAAATCCTTACTTCCACTGGTATTTTCACATGACATGTTCATAGCGGATATTTCCAGGGACTTGACATATTTAGTGAAAAATACACTCCAATATGCAACATTCACCTACTAAATGAATGAGAAAATGGCTAAAATTGCTGATTACAGAATACTGAAAGTATAGTGAATAAATTTGACTTAAAAAAGTATAACTTACCACCTGGACGAATTAATTCAGCTCCTTCACCTGCCGCTGCTGCAGCTGCCGGACCACTACGTGGACAATAATTTGATTCACTGCTATCGGATGATAAACCTAATCCTGGTCTAGCACGAGGTTGTCGAGGTTCAAATCCACCACTTGGTCTAATACAACCGCCATTTCCACTGTTAAGCGAAGACCGATTATTTGCAAACCAAGTACACTTTAGAGCGATGTCAAGAAGCCTTTGTGGAACTGTTTGTGAACCGGATTCCAAATGTTGAACTAAACACGCTGCAAAATCAACTGGATCTTTTCCAGCAACAAATAATGTATAAGCTGTTCCTTTTGCCCCTGCACGACCAGTTCTACCAATTCGATGAGTATGTGTGTCAATATCTCGTGCAACTTCATAATTGATTACATTATGTATACTCGGTATATCCAAACCACGTGCTATTAGGAAGAAATGAAGGGAGTGAAGAAAAATAGAATCGGAAAACAGATTAAAGTAACAACTTGTTAATATTATCTATGGTAAAATAAGAGGGTAATTTTATTTATCTGATACACTTAATAAATGAGTAAACATTTAAATTGATATTACCTTTTGTATTGTTTAATTAAATATTATCACCATTCTAACGTAACAATCGCCCTGGTAAGGCCGAGAGTGGGGAGAAGTCCGCTCTCCCTCTCGAAACGCTCTCACGTGGCCACGCGTATATAGCTTCTGCCGGCGAAGTTCTACTCACTGACTTCTCGTGGCAGGGGTGTCGTTTACGAAATCGAGAGGACGAAAAGCGAATGTCCGGTGCTTTAACCGGGTTAGTGAACACAGAGGGTTCATCTAGGGGAGTTGAAAAACCCTGATTCCAAACTAATGGTGTACGTGGGCTTCAGTACCCTGAGGGAACAAATGATATATAAACCAATCGTTGGTCACCGACTACCATGGGACTGCATCTCCTTACACTGCTCCACTGCCTTGTGGATTAGACCTTTATGTTGAAGGCTCGGGGTGTAACCCTTTGAGAAAACCTCCTGTTTCGGTCCGGGCACCCGAGCAGTATCACAGCCCTCACACAAATCAAATGAGATCGTGTCGCGCATATGTATCTGGTGCTCCCTTGTGCCAGTATTTATGTGTTCCAATAAATAAATAAAACGCAACAATCACTAAGTTATCTACAGTCGTATTAATTATAATTACAAATTTATAGAGAAGTAGACTTTATTTGAAAACCACCGAACATCTACTCCTCTGGTGTGTGTGTGCTACTTATATTGACATAAGTAGTATATAACGCCAGTCAGGAATAGAATGTCTAGCAGCAGAAGGTTAAGAAGGGTAGAACGAGAACAGAAATCAATTGGTATGGAAATGCAGGAACAGTGAAGTCTGAGACGATTGACTAATATGTGCTAAATGAGCAGTCGAGTTTGAGACAATTGATTGATATTTCACAAATTAAGTATTTACTGTATGGTTCTCAGATTTTAGTGAGATATCCTGTAATTTTGTATTC